GTATCCAGAAGCCAAGGAACACTAAGGTTTGCCAGCTAAGAGGGAAGTAAGGATAATCCTCTAGAGCTTTCAGACAGTATAGCTTTTACCAACACCTTGATTTCAGACTTCTGGTCTCTAGAATTGTGAGAGAATACATTTCTGTTGTTTTAAGCCACCAAATTTGTGGTACTTTGTTACAGTAGCCCTGGGAAACTAACACAGTTGTCATGTATTTCAATTCTATATAAATTTTAATCTCTATGAGAAAATATTGGCATTGTTTGTATAGTGAATATACATTTATGTTTATCCATGTTTGACTCTTTCCATTTTTCTTCATTTCTTCCTAAATCTCTGTACATCTCTTCTAGGATTGTTTTCTTTCTTCTTGGAGTACTTCTATCAGTATTTCCTTACTGTGGGTTTGCTGTCCTTGAATTCTTAATTTTGTTTGCCTGAAAATGCCTTTATTTTACCTTCATTTTCTGAAGTATATTTTTGCTAGGCATAGAATTCTAGGTTAGTAGTTCTTTTAGCATCTAGCACATTGAAGATATATCATCCATCATCTTCCGACTTCTGTTATTTGGTTTTGTGAAGTTTTACTATAATATAGATTGGTGTTGTTCTCTTTGGCTTTGTGTTGCTTGGGATTTACTTTTCTTGATTCTGTGACTTGGTGTCTTTCATCAGTTTTTGACAATTTTTGTCATTATTTCTTTACATATTACTTCTGCCCAAATTTTTCTCTTCTTTTCCTTGTGGAACACAAATTATAACTTTATTAGACCTACTTATTCTTAATCTCTTTTTATAACCTGCTTAAAAACCTTCAGTATCTCCTTTTCCATCTGTCCTTCAGCAAACATGTATTAAACAACTATTATGGGTCATGCACTGAGTTTAGTGCAGTAGACAAAAAGGTGAGCAGTATAAAAGCTATTTCCATCCCTTCAGAGCTTATAGTCCAGGGATAAAGAAAATTTATAATAGAGTGCAGTAAGTGCTATGTATGATAGGGGAAGGCATATCAGGAACATAAAACGCATTTGGTGGGGGCCAGAGATGGACTCTTTGGAGGTAGGGACACATAAGTGGAAATGTTAAGAATGAATAAGATTTATCCATGTGAAGAGATGGGTGACAGAATTTGTGAAGGCCTAGAGGTAGTTATAGCATGCTGGAGGAACTAAAAGAGCTTCAAGATGGTTGAGGCATAGAACACAAGATTCATGTTTGATGAGATAGGTTGGGCCAGGCTACAAGATACATAAACAATTTCATGGGTTTGAGCTTCATCATGAGTACAATGGGAGAAAAAAATGAAAATATTTAAGCCAGGAAAGTGAAGAGGTTAAGATAAATAAACAAGATTTTGTGATTAATTATAGGTGGGAGTTGAGATAGGGGAAGGAGTAGAGAAAGATTCTCAGGTCCTAGGATTTCTGAATTGCATTTGCTAAGATATAGGGCAAAGGAGGAAGGACAAACGTTGAGGGAGAGATGATAATGAGATAAATTTTGTAAATATTAGGAATGAGACACTCATGGGGCATCTAAGAAATTATAGGCAATTGGTCTCATGAATCAGGAATTCAGATTAGAGGGTTGGGCTAAAGATACAGATTTTAGAATCTTTCCTACTCCATTTCATTTCCCATATAGCTTTCAAAGTTCTCTTTCAAAAATAGATCTTTCTCTATGAGACACCTGCTTATAAACCATCAGTGTCTACTCATAGCTACCTGATACAGTTTAAACTCTTTCACATAATGGTGTGCAAAGACCTTTAAAATTTAGTACCCACCAAAATTCCCAGACTAACATCTCAACAGACTAACATCTGTTTCAGTTGGATACAATTTCTCACTGTTCTCTAGACACAAAGAGTTTATTTTTATCTCCATATGCTTTTAAAATATGCTGTTTCTTTTACTCAGAATGTTTTGTCCCCTTTCTTTTCAACCTGAATAACTTCTATTCATCCTTCAATATCATAGTTCAAATACATCTCCTCTGAGTTGCCTTTTCAATTGCTCTCTTCTCACTTTATAAATGTTTCTAAAACAATGTTTTTCAAAGGGCAGATCCTGTCCCATTTATTGGTTATAAAATAAATTTAGAGGGTCATTACAGGTACTTAAAATGAAATAGAACAGAGTAGGAAATATAGACAGTTCAAAAAGTTAAGTATTGCCTTTTGAAACTTTTGTTTCAGTTACATATGTACATCTGTATATGTATATTGAATAATCATATAAACCATATTTCTTACTGTGGTTTATGGTAAAAAATATTTGAAAGTCATTACCCTACTACTCTTGTTGCTTTACTAGTTGTCTTTCTCCCTAGAAAGAGGGTGCCTTATTTGTTTTTGTGTCTCTGGTGCTTAGCACTGTGATTCATTATAGCACTCAGTCATTTTTTAATAAATCGTTTATGGTAGAAAATGCTTTACATAGTTGCCAATGTTCTCCTCCTCTTTCTTTTGTTCAGTGTTCCTTCAATTCTTCTGTTAAGGTAAAGAAATAGTAATAGAAATAGTTTAAGTTTGTTGATAACATCTCTTTAATACATATTCATACTAAAAGGAATGATGTGTTCTAGGTCTGGAAGATATATTAACGGCTACGGATAAATTTTCTGAGCTTCAACAGTCCAGAGTGGAAAATTTTCAGAATTTCAAGTTAGATTTGAGCTGAACAACAACACAATACAAAACACCACCACCACCACCCAAGTTCAGGGAGAGGGGGAAGAGACAAGGACCACAGAAGGAACTACAGGGGGATTCTGCTTTACAAATAATATTTACGTCTTTTAAAATAGAAAATCACTGATGCAAATATGACAACATATTAACATTTTCAGTTGGGGCAGTAGGCAGAGGAGTGTCTTTTGCAACTTTCTGTATTTTATAGCATTAAAAAAATTTCAAAGAGGGAAAACTTTCTAGCTCTATCACTAACTTTCTTTATCCGTGAAATGGAAATAATAATGGGACTTATAATGAGTATCTGTCGTCAGATTTCTCTTAAGATAGGGAAGGGTATATTGACAGGCTTTTGATAAAAGTTGTGGTGATCTCTGAAGTTATGGGAGTAAGTATGCTTCTAACAGAGAAAATGAGAGCAATTATGGCAAGAAATTTGGTTGTTCATGGAATGAAGGGCCAGTGGATGCCCTCTCCCCCTTGGTAGGATAGCTGAAAGGACTCCTCAGGAGAATCTATTCACAATTTTTGGCTTTTTTTGTAAGGGGCTTTGATGAAACCTTCTTTCATAATTCCATAATTATCAGGAGTACTTTCTTTGTATGAGTAGGTTTTTGTGTGTGTTTTAGTTTGTTGTGAACATTCATTTCCCTTTGTTCATTTGTTTTGTTCCTTTTTCTCCACATCCTTGCCAACACTTGTGTCTTAAGTTTTTTATTTTAGACATTCTGACAGGTGTGCGGTGATATCTCATTGTGTTTTTGATTTGCATTTCCCTGATGATGAGTATGTTGAGCATCTTTTCATGTTGTCCATCTGTATGTCTTCTTTAGAGTAATATCTATTCATGAACAGACTCTTAAATTTAGAGAACCAACTATTGGTTGCCAGGGAGGAGGTGGGTGGGGGGGATGGATGAAATAGGTGAATTATGAGTACACTTATCATGTTGGGCACTGAGTAATGCACAGAAATTTAAATCATTATATTGTACACCTGAAACTAATATAACACTTTATGTTAATTATAGTTGATTAAAAAAACTAAAAAAAGAAAATTTGAAGTCGAATTTCTTTGGGAAACAAGTGTTTAGAATGGGTAAAATAGTGAAGACTATCATTATTTGGAGAAAAACATAATTCACGTACTTCTTGTGAGTCTCAAATCTAAGTTTTAATGTACTAAAGTGTGTATCTATATGTACTATACATAAAATTATATGTACAAATTATTGCTGAAAGAACTATTTACATTTCAGACCAAATCTCTCACTTGACAGATGAAGAAACTCAAGCACAAAGATATAGGTTATTTAATTTTATGAAATGGAATATATTCAGGACTTCACATGATTTTCATCATTTCACTTCTAAAAGTTACTATTTTGGGGGTGCTACTTCCAATTATATGTTGGTTTACTAACACAGTGGTTTTCATACTGTGGTATAGAATTCTGTGATTCCAGAGAGGTGCCTCAAAGATGACAGGGAAGGAGTGATGAAGCAAGGAAAGATGGGATGGAAAAAGGGTGTAGTGGGCAGTGGGAATTGCTACCTTTTCTTCAACTTGGACAGGCTTGCTTTTATCCATTTTATATATTGGGTCTGCCCAAGATTTCATTATAAAAGCATCCTTCTACTAAATAAAAGTTTGCAAATCATTAGAGCTTGAAAGGATTTAGCACCTGTATGAAACAGACTTTCTCCACAGCTTAGGATCTGGCATTGTGTTTTAATTAGTTTCTTGTAAACATTCGGGGGCACCTGATGAAACTCTTTTCCCAGGAAACAGCATATAGGCACACATTTATGTACCAAATACAGTAGTTCAGGGACTTCCTGAAATCCATTTACAGATTCTGGGTTAATAACACAACTCTGAAAACTTTCGATGACTTAAATAAGAAACTTCTTGTTGAAAAAGAATAAGAATTTGGGATTAAATTAGAATGTGTTTGGAAAAGATGGATTTATCTTTAAACACAGCATAACTTTGTAGGGCCAGTTTTTCCTGCCTAATGAGAAAACAAATGTACTTTTGACCAAACTTCAAGGATCCTATGTACTCTTGTTGGCCACACTATTCTTTTGATTTACTGATTCATTCAACAGATATTTATCAAGAACAGTAGAAGACACTGTGCTAAAACAAACATAAGTGAATGATTTCAGATATTTGCTTTAGAAGCCATCTATACTTGAGGATATGAATAGTTTTTAGTCCTTAGTGAATTTTACCACTTAACCCCTTTCACCAGGTCTCCTCCCCTCCCCCCCTTCTCCTTTCTTGCCCTCCCTCCCCACACCCCCACATCTTTTAACTCTCCGTTGGAGTAAGTATCCCTTTGACTTACCTGGGCTGGATCAGGCCTGGATGACTGAGGCCTCGGCTGTCTGTCTAAGCTGCTTTCAGTCATGCACGTATTGCTAGTTTCAATCAGAGGACCGTAGGGATGTGCAGGGACACTGGGACTGTGGCACCAAGGGCTGCTATTGGGCAAAGGGTTTGGTGGGGTTTCTTTTTCTCTGTTAAAAAAAATTAATCCAAAAGTGAACCCAAAAGGTATCTTATATAGTGGAATTAGCAATGAAGGTTCAATTAAAGTGAAAGCATGTTTTAAGACCAGAGAATATGGCTTTTTTAGATCTTTGGGCAGCACTTTTTTTTTTTGGCAGCACTTTTATAACATCAGAAGCATTTGCCTAGATAAGTGTGACATAAAGTCTGCACTTTAAGCCACAAGCCAGCTCTTGATCCAAGATGAAATTTCTAGATGATGCACCTCTTCCTCCACCTAAGCACTGCTAAAGACATGGTGATAATTTCATCTCTTCACCTCTCCACAGCCTTGCCTCTAACAGTAGTGCCACTAAGAAGTGAAATGGCCAGAGTGGTCTTGATATTGCCTAGTAGAAGTCACCGCCTTTACTGTTCCATGACTATAACCCTGCTTACTCTGTGTTTTTCATAAAACACAAAAAGTATTATGGCTTTTATGGTCCTATTTGAAATAGGATTTTTTTATTTGATTTACCTATTCATCATGTATCTATTTGTCACCCAGTCATTCCTACTTGCTCAGTTACTAATTGTGGGAAGGACTCAATTAAAAAAAAAAGCCAAGCAACTTTTACCTTTTGAGAAAAACTCTGACTCGTTCCATCTGATATTTTGAGATATCTTTATTACATTTATCTTGTTTTTCTTTAGTTGTAGTTATAGCTGCTGGCCAATTCAACATGTGTCTTCGAGACGTTGTACTTACTACTGAGCATCTGTCAAATTCAATGTCAGTCTCTAATTTCTCCCATGCTTGCTTCCAGTGAATAGGAGTGTACCAGGCAACAGCCTAAAATAATGATTCATTAATATCAAATATCAATGCAGTTAGATTTTTTTTAAATGTCATAGGTTTATTGCAATAACATTTCAAAGTCAAACAGTTTACTGTCACTTACCTACTGTGTGTGAATTAGTGGAACACAATGAGGATGTAATAAGACATCCTGGCCTTAGTTTCCAATTCTGAAAATGATAAGGGGCATAACCTCAGGCAGATTAGTCACTTACTGTCTTGAATTGTGTCCTCATATGTGAAATGAGGGGGGTGATAGTAGGGAATTGCTATATGAAGGTGTTGTGAGATTCAGCTAAACTACTAAATTTCATAACTATAAAGAACTATGCAAAAAGTAGTTGTAATGTTATCATTAAAATTTAAATATTTAAGATATTTTATATATGTATATATGTATATGTAGGTCTTATTTGAAATGGGGAAATGGGCAGTAGAACTAGAGACACGGAGAGGAAACCACATTTTTTTGTTAGAATCTTAGGTGGAACTATTAAGGAGACTAACTAGACTCTGAATTTCCTGAGGACAGAAACCATGCAATAGTTATGCTCTTTTTCCCCCAGCACCTAGCATAAAGCTTGGCAGACACTAAACATATGTAAATGTTCCCCATATGAATGAATTGGTCAGTTTCATTCTTTTACTAGCAAATAAAATTATTTGTGTTTACATCACCCTGCAGAAATAATCCGATCCTATATGTGCAAAGTAGTTCAAACCAGAGTAAAAAGAGTAGTGTAAGTACAAAGACTAATCCCGTTGCAGAGAATGACAACTTACTCAAATGGGCATTCCAGGAACTTAGGGACCTGGTCTGTCTGGTTCAACACTCAGTGCCTGGAAACAGTGTGCATACAAAGTAGAAACCCCAAACATGTTTGCAGAGTGAATAAATGGGTGGATAAATGTGACAAAAAGTCTGAAATAAGAATGCCTTAATCTTAGAGTTTTGCCAATGATTTTTTATGAACCTGAGTAAATAATTTAGATCACATAACCTTATTTTTCCCAACAGTGAAAATCATTAGAAGTATTATAAAATTCATTTGGAGCCAACTAAAAGATCTAAAGGTGAGTAAAGGCTTCAAAATTACATCTAACAAGTGTTCTATCTAAGGACAACTGCTGCTCTTACAGAAAGGCATTAAATGGCTCTTAATAAATTGGCAAGTCTACTCTAAAGAAAGAGTCAAACTAAGCATGAGGTATAATGTAGCAAGCAAGACAATCAGAGAGATAGATTCCAATCAACATATTATCTGGATTAGTAGTTATATGACATAGTAATAAGACTGGAGGTAAGAAAATAAGAAGGCAGGTATTTAAGAAAAATCGAAAGAATGGTTTTGCAAAAGGAATAACTTTTTTGTTACAAACAAAGATATCTTTCAACTTTATTAGTGTGTATTTGGGCATATATTTATGCTAATATTATGCTAAGGAAAAGGTAGAATGAAAATCTAAAACTGTCAAATACTGGCAATGAGTTACCCAAAATTATTACTAATACACTTAATATTATAGTGAATAATGTATAGTTGTTACAAATTAGACCATGGATCCTTTCATTAGAATATTAGTCTCTAAAGAGCAGATATCATGTCCTATTCTAAATTACATTCTCAGCACTTATTACAGCCATTGGAATAGAGAATAATCTCGACAAATATTTGAGAAATTAATAAATGAACAGAAAAGATCTCTATGTAGTACCTTCCTTTCTTATTCCACTCTTCAGCCCAAATATCACGAATAAAATCCACCCTTGACTCAAATTTGAAGTAACTTCTTGGAAATATGGGCTACGAAAATTATTTTTGCCAAATTAAAAGTAGCTCTTTGGCACTTTGGCCCTGGGAACAGGGTGCTGTTGATTTACCTGCCATGTTATTGCAGTTAGTGATGGTTTAAACTATTAAGGATGGGAAATACTTGAGTCAGCTAAGAAGAGAAGGGGAACCTAAGGAGAACTATCCATTTTTCTTTTAAAACTTATCATTAAGAATAGGACACTGACTTCACCATTAGGTTTGCACAGAATCGTTGTACAATTTGGGCTTGTTCTAAACTTGTTTTGTTCTCTCCAAAGAAAATCTGATGGTGGCTGATGCTTTGCTTCAGATGCAGCTGCCCACACCTGTAAGAAAATGGTTTGTTAATGACAAATGCCATTTGAGTTCCATGTAGTTTTGTATATGTCAGAGGGTCATTGCAATGTATCATTCTGAACAAATGAGGTTTTAAAATATGACTGTATAATATATAATGTCAAGCTGTGTAACTGTACATGGTTTAAAGGAAAGCACAAGAAAGAGAGGAAACCTTCCAGCATCAGCTAATTACCTGTTCTCTAAGCAAACAATCTCTTTGCTTTTCTTTTAAGGATTATATTTGCTTAGTTTTAGGAGCTTAGGTATTTTGTTTTAATAGTTGAATCATAAAAACAAAAGGTATTCAGGGCGTGTGGGTGGTGCAGTCGGTTACCTCACTTACCTCACTGACTTTTGGTTTCGCTTCGGTTATGATCTCAGGGTTATGAGAGTGAGCTCTGCACTTAATGTAGAGTCCACTTAAGACTCTCTCTCCCTCTTCCTCTGCCCTTTCTCCCCCCTCTCTCTCTCTCAAATAAATAAATAAATCTTTAAAAACCCCAAAAGGTATTGTACACCAGATTGAGGAAAGCCATGGAAATTTAATTATGGGTATTCATTTACATTCAGGGATGGACAAAGTGGGACAAGTAACTAACAACGACAAGGAATCACATTTTACCTAGAGATCGAGTGATGAAGAAACTGGTGCTAAGCCGGTCTGGCTGGGTGAAGGAGTTTTTCCTGTAAAATTTTAGATCATAGCATTTGTATCTTATACTCACTGTTATTGTGCAATTGGCCTGCATTATGATATTTGGAGGGAAGCGGTACAAAGAGACTGTTTGTCCATTCACATTTTGCTGGAGAATATGACCTCCAATCTCCAGTTCTTTGTCAAGGGAAGAGTTAATGAGTTTCACAAATAAACCCTTGACATTTACTTCAGCTATTTTAACGTCTCCAAGAGCACTAAAAAATAAAGCACAAAGATTATAAGGTAACTTTAGAGAAATGTATCTTTAGCTCATTTTAAGAACTGAATAGTATGCTTTAGAAGTACAACTTTTAAATAGCTGTGTATTCTATTGGACACATTCTATGTAGAAATGGTGTATTTTATAACCTAAGACATATGGTTTGATCTCTTAGTTCTGTTTATCTGTGGAACAAAATTATCTCTTTCACAAGGAAGTTAAAAAGTGCCAAAATATAAATAATAAAGAAAAGTTAAAAAGTGTCAAGGTATAAATGCCATAGGAAGATGTGATTATCATTATTTAAAGTTCCTTTTATTCATCAAAAAAGCATGAGACATGAAACTATCAAGTAAATAAAGAGGAAAGGTAAACAAACCATTTAGATTATTTCTGATAAAGTTACTGTGAAGATGAATAGCAACTATGTGCTTAAAAGAATTTTGCAAACAAAATATTATGCAAATATAAGATGGTAATTTTTCCCTCTAACATGTGTTGAGAGCCTAGTATGTACCAGGGAGTAGGCTAATAAACATTTATATGTTAGCATTTCTCAGAGTGTGGGTCACAACCTAATAGTACATCATGAAATCCATTTGGTGGGTTATAGCTGTCATTTTAAAAATGAAATGCCAATAATAATAACCAATACTTATTATGTGCTGGGCACTTTTTAAAGATTACATCTATATCTACAAATTCATATCCACAATTCCAAAATCCATAAAGTTCTGAAAAACCCCAAAACTTAAAAAAAATGCACTTGATGTTTGATGAGCACCAAGTGTAGTATATAAGAGATGAATTGCTAAATTTTACAGCTAAAACTAATATTAGCTGTAACATTAATGTTAATTAGCTGGAATTTAAAGAAAAACTTGGAAAAGAATACATTTTAAACAAAATCTGACCTGAATTCCTTTGGTGGCAAAATCTGACCTGAAACTGAGGGGAGTCTATTTATAGTCTTTATTTGTGGTTTGTGTGAATTATTCATATGTTTGGCTGTGGACAAATTAATGTTTGATTTTGGATACTTTTCTAAGCCCTGATGGGGTGTTGTGTGATATGTGTTCTAGTCATCATATTACCTTTCTGAAATCCCCCAAGTTCTGAATTTTGAAACAGATCAAGTTCCCAAATATTTTGGGAAAGGCATTAAGAACTTATAGATATTCATTTAATTCTCATTATAAGGCTACATATTTCTTACTGAAAGTCATGGTTAAAAAAATTGAGGGACACTAATATTTCATGAGTGAAATAGGCTTATTTCATCTGCCCCCAACCCCTCCCAACTCTGGTAACCAATAGTTTGTTTCCGGTATCTATAAGTCTTTTTCTGTCTTGTTTGTTCATTTGTTGTTGTTGTTTTTAGATTCCATATATAAGTGAAATCATGCAGTATTTGTCTTTGTCTGACTTATTTCATTTAGCATTATATTCTCTGGGTCCATTCATTTTGTTGGAAATGGTAAGGTTTCATTCTTTTTTTATGGCTGAATAATATATATATATAACATCTTCTTTATCCATTCATTTATTGATGGGCAACTTAGGTTGCTTCCATTATCTTGGCTATTTTAAATAGCCTGCAATGAAGACAAGTGTGGGCATATATCTATCTCTTGAGATTGTTTTCATTTTTCAGTAAATACCCAGATGTAGAATTGCCGTATCATATGATAATTTTTTGAGGAACCTCCATACTCTTTTTCCATAGTGGCCACACCAACTTACATTCCCACTAACTTAGTCTTTGTCTTAATGTCTCTGTGGTATTTGTCTTTACCAGATATGCTTTCTTTTTTGGAACTCCTCTCCTTGTTTACCCAAGTCCCTGTTTTCCTTCTATCAGTCTAGTTGCTCCTTTTCAGTCTCTCTCTCTCTCTCTTTTTATCTTTTTAGTCTCTTTTTCAGATTTTTCTTCTTCATCTATCTCTCAGACATTGATCCCTGGGATTCTTCCAAAACCATCTTTTATTCTCATCACATTCCATATATGTGATATCACCTATGAACAGGGCATCAGTAACCATTAATACACTGATGACTGCTAAATCTAAATCTCTTCCTTAGATTTTCCTGCTGAGCTTTGGACCCATAGAAACAACTGACCACCACAGACCCCAAAGATGCCTCTGAATCAACATGGCCCAAATTGAATTCATCATTTTGGAAGGGTGGGAAACCTATTCCAGTGAATTGCATCATCCTTTATCCTGTTGGCCATGTCTGAAATTTCAGTTACTTTCTCACTCTCTTAAGCTTCTTGCCTTATCTGTGACAAATACTATCGATTCTATCCCTATATCTTCTGTAAACCATCCTCTTTTCCCCATCTATTTCTATCTATTGCTGTTGTCTTCATTAGGTCCTCCTCACCTCTGTGTGATATTGTAACAGTGTCCTAACTGGTTTCTCCAGTTCTGTACCCTCCTAACTATTCTCTATTTTGTTTTCAGAACAGTCTTTGTTTGCTATCCAGAACAAGGATAAATATTGCAATAACTGACCATTTCCTTCCAGAGAAAACACCAACTTCATAGCATGGAAACAAGGTCCTACATAATCTGCTAGCCTTGTTAATCTCTTTTTTCCCACTTCCTAGCTTGCTTGAACTTCAACCATAAAGGATTTATCCCAACACTTGTGACAGGTCATACCATTGCATGCTTTACCCACTGTCTATGCAAGTATTAGTAGTTCTTCTTGTTCCCCACATTCCTACCAACACTTGAAACTTTCAGACTTCTTAATATTTTCAATACAATGGGTACAAAATGGTATCTCATTGTTATTTTAACTTATTTTCCCCTGATTATAGTGCAATTGAATAAGCTATTTATTGGCCACCCAGTTTTCTTCTGTGAATTCCATGTTCATATTATTTTTTCCACTTCTATAAGGTTGTTTTACATTTTTATGATTGAGTTCATAGTATTTAAATAAAATAGCATTTAAATATATATACACATATTTTTAGAAGAAGAACTGTATTGTAATAAAAGAATATTATTCATGTTATTTTAAGTTGCTATAATGGTGATAATTTGTTATTGCGAGCAATAGAAAACTAATATCCACTTATAAATTTTTAAATTGTGTGCCAGAAATGTTGCCAGAGTCTTCTGTCTTCTATTTTTCTAATGATGAAGCACTCCCAATCTTCTATTGTTCCTTTGAAGGTAAGTTTCCTTTTTCTCTAAGATTTTCCTTATGTCTTGAATTTTTCGTTTGTTTGTTTGTTTAAAGCGGGGGTTGGAGAGGAGGGACAGAGGGAGAGGGTGAGAGAGAATCTTAACCAGGCTCCACACCCAGCATGGAGCCAAAAATCAAGAGTCTTAACCGACTGAGGCTTAACTGACTAAGGCCACCCAGGCACTTCTCTTATGTCTTCTGTTATAGAAGTTTTTCCAATATGCACCCACAGGTTTGGGTTTTTATTTTTCTGTCTTTTATCTTTCTGGTAGTTGGTAGTGCTTCTTGCATCTGTGGCTTGATGTCTTTCATTAGTTTGAGAAACTTCTCTGCTGTATTTCCACCAGTACTGTTCTACCTTAATCTGTGTCTCCTCCCCTTAAGTAACTTCAATTACAAGTAGTTAGGTTTTTTTTTTTTAATCTTTCTCTATTTATCCTTATGCATGTTTCTGTTCTTCTAATATCTTTGCAATTCAGCCTGGGTATTTTCTTCTAAGAATGTTTTAGTGCAATAATTCTCTCTTCTGTTTCATCAAATATATTGTTAAACCCATCTACTTCTAAAATAGTAATTTCTCTTACTGGATTTTTTTAGTTCTAGAATTTCCTTTTGACAATTTAATAATAAACCAATAAAATATTCAGTTTCCAGTTCTATCTTGTCATTTAATTCCTTGAATACTCAGTCATTGTTATTTTAAAATCCCTGTCAGATAACAATAATATCTGCACCACCAAGGCCTGTTTTTAGTGTCCATTTTAACCTTAGTTTTTGGTTAACTTTTCCCCCCCCATTTTTATTTATTTATTTTTAAATGTTATTTTATTATGTTATGTTAGTCATCATACATTACACCATTAGTTTTTGATGTAGTGTTCCATGATTCATTGTTTCTGTATAACACCCAGCACTTTACCCATTTTAAACTGGCTTCTCTTTTTGTTGTTGTTGAGTTATAGAATTCTTCATATCATCTGGATACTAGTCCCTCATCAGATATATGATTAGTAAACATTTTCTTTTCTTCTATGGATTTTCTTTTTGCTTTCTTTCTTTCTCTTTTGTTTTGTGGGGGAGATTTTTCAGTTGTATGCCTTGTTATTGTTTACTTAGTGCCTAGTATTATAGATAAAAAAAAAAAGCTGCAGAGATAGTTTAAGACTCTGAATAGCATTTTCTCAACCCATAAAGGATTTACTTAGCTTCTGGCAGCCATCAAAGTTGGGGGTAAATCACTTTAATCAAACCAGGGTGTGAAATGATTTGATGCTATGCCTCAGCTCCAATTAGGATGGTCTATATTGAATATAGCCCTACTATTGGGTGACCCTTTGAAATTCCAATTGAAAACCTGGGTTGTTTATCAGTGACCCTCTTTCTGGATAGGCCCTGAATCCCAATTTTTATTCACCTGGTCCTATGAAACTGCCAGTATATTATTAACTTCTCAGCTTCTTAGCTGCTGCTTTCAAATTAATGACTGTTTTGAGGAGAAAAGTGACTCCAAATGTCAGCCATCACTCCGAGTTTCCTCTTCTAGAACAGGAATTGTGAGAATAGAGGATGTAAATATCTATGAATCTCAATATACAGTACTAAACTGTTTTCAAAATAGTGGTCTCACTTCATATTCTCATTGCATTGTATGAGAATGCCTGTTTTGCAGAGGTTCACTTTTGAGTAATTTACATTTGTAGTCTTTTCTTTTGCATTACCATTATGGTTTTTACTAAATTGTGGCTATAACATTTTATTCTTTGAAATCTCTAGAATTCCTCTTTGTCATCC